CCCCCCCAAATAGCTAGCAATCCGAAACAGTCCAGTGGAGCCTGAGCGGTGGGTGTTGCCTTCTGACACACTTCCGGTGATGTCAGGGGGTGTGGCATATGCAAATGAGTTATGCTAATGAGTTATGCTAATGAGCTCCTGCACCTCTTTTTCTACGAAATGACCCCTGCTTTCACTGAATCCTTGGGAGCAATGGCACATATCTCTATTGAGCGGCAGCTGGACAAACACTGGTCAGGGATGCTCTAAGCCAGGGGTGTCGAACTTATTTGTTACAGAGGGCCGGATCTGACATAAATTGGACCTTGTCGGCCTGGCCCATGTGTGTCATACCATGCAATGCCAGGGAGTGGAGATATAAACTTGGTAAAGGACACAAACACAAAGATTTTTTTTCACTTAAAATAAGATAATGCTTAAAACATCAGCACTCTTGCAATGTTTTGTTTATTTAACAGTGTCTGATAACTGACCCCTCTTGCTCTGAATCATTGCATCAGAATGTCTGTGCTGCTGCAATCTTGAGTATGCTGTTCAGGTCTGTATCTGTCAGCTGCAAACCTATTGATTTATTTTTATTTATTTATTTCTTCACATTTGTACCCCGCCCTCCCTGCCTAAGCAGGCTCAGGGCGGATTACAACAATAAAACAGAATAAGATTCAAGATCATAAAACTTCTAAAACAATGGGGAAAGGTTAAAGCACTTGGGGCTCTTTAGCTTGGCGAAATGACGGCTGAGGTTTATTAAGATTATGCCTGGGATTGAGGTTTATTAAGATTATGCCTGGGATAGAGCAGGTAGAGAAAGAAGTACTTTTCTCCCTTTCTCACAAGACAAGAACTCGTGGGCACTCAGTGAAATTGCTGAGTGGTCGGGTTAGAACGGATACAAGGAAGTACTTCTTCACCCAAAGAGTGATTAACACATGGAATTCACTGCCACAGGAGGTGGTGGCAGCTACAAGCATGGACGGCCTCAAGAGGGAACTGAATAAACATCTGGAGCAGAGGTCCATCAGTGGCTCTTAGCCACAAGGTACAGATAGGAACTCTCTGGGGCAAGGGATGCTCTGTCTTATTGATGCCTGGGCGTGGGGGCAACAGTGGGAGGGCTTCTGGTGTCCTGGCCCCACTGCTGGACCTCCTGATGGCACCTGGTATTTTTGGCCACTGTGTGACAGAGTGTTGGACTGGATGGGCCACTGGCCTGATCCAACACTGGCTTCTCTTATGTTCTTATATGAAGCAGAGGTCCATCAGTGGCTCTTAGCCACAAGGTACAGATAGGAACTCTCGGTCTGGGGCAAGGGATGCTCTGTAATCTTGGTGCTTGGGGGGGGCAACAGTGGGAGGGCTTCTAGTGTCCTGGCCCCACTGCTGGACCTCCTGAGGGCCCCTGGTATGTTTGGCCCCTGTGTGACACAGAGTGTTGGACTGGATGGGCCATCGGCCTGATCCAACATTGGCTTCTAATTCATTAAAATCATATTATATCAATATAAAGTGCTAGCAGGTGCTTTCCTATCATCTAGATGGCGCTATACATTGTATAGATCGTCTGTGTGTTCAGCTCGTTGGTTATCTCATATCTGAGCAGCAGATGACCTACGACGACGCAGCAGCAGCAGCAGAACTGGGAGAAGAAGCAGAAGACAGCCGGTTCCACTGCGGGCCTGAGAGAAGCCCTCCGGGGGCCTGATCTGGCCCCCGGGCCTCATGTTTGGCACCCCTGCCTTAAGAGATGTTTTGTAGTGTGTAATACAGTTCTCTGGCATCTTCAGCCTGGACACAGTTAAGCATTAATGGTTTTTTCTCACCTATTTTTGTACTTCATCTGCAGACATCTATTGTACTTACCTTGCATTGTTATTAAATTCTTAAATAAAAATTATAAATTTTTAAAAAGCATCCTGCCGAAGGGGACTGTGACGGAGGCACACCCAGCGCCGCTTGCGCACCCCTCAAAGACTTGCATAATGACAAGCGCCACAGAGAGCCGCGGAGCACTTACTCTTCCCGTTTGATTTCTGCTTGGGATCCGGCTGGCCCCCGACGATTGCCAGGAGTTCGGCCTCCAGGTCTGTATCGTCCACCCCGTCCCCGGCCATCATGCCTTCGGGAGACAGATCCATCAGTAAGCCCATCTGCGGGAAGGAAGAGATAACCACAGAAAAAGCACTGTAGGGTTACTTAGTTATTTAATTCATTCTCCACCCCACCTCTCCCCCCCCCGATGGGGACCCGAGTCAGCTCACGTCATTCTCCTCTCCTCCACTTTACCCTCACAACAACCCTGTGAGGTAGGTTAGGCTGGCCCGAGGTCACCCGGCGAGCTTCCCACAGCACCAGCTGGGATTTGAACCCAGGTCTCTCAGATAGAAGTCCGACACTCTTAACCACTACACCACACTGGCAAGTACCCCGCTTCTTGCTTCTGCAGGTAACGTTCTGCGATGGTGACCTAATTGCAAACTGCTGGTTCTGCTTCCGTAACCGCAACCGGGGACTGGAAGTGTACCAGTATCGGACTCTGGCCTATCAGGCTTTTCGTTCACAAGTCACATCACAAGCAGGGGTCATTTTCCTGCGGGAGACAACAGGAGCGGAGCTCCGGCAGTAAGGAGCCCAGGGGGCGGGCACATGCAACAAGCCCCGCCCCCTGCTCCCAGCAGCCCTCAGTTGGGCCATGAGGAGCAAGAAGCAGCCAGGTAAGTTGCAGAGCCCCCCCCCCCAGCCCGCCTTCAGGTACAAGCTCTCCCTCTTCTGTGAGGACAGATCTGCACGTTCTCCCCCCCAATAGCTAGCACTCCAAAACAGTCCAGGGGCACCTTTAAGGCCAAGGTTTATTCAGGTACAAACGCTCCCTCCTCTGCAAGGACAGATCTGCATGTTCCCCCCACCCCCACAGGGAGCAATCCTAAACAGTCCAGTGGCACCTTTAAGACCAAGTTTTATTCAGGTACAAGCTCTCCCTCTTCTGTGAGGACAGATCTGCACGTTCCCCCCCCCCCACAGGTAGCAATCCAAAAAAGTCCAGTGGAGCCTGCGCGGTGGGGGGTGCCTTCTGACCCAAATAC